GCCCAAACCTGGGGTGCGCCACCGGCGTCGTCTGGAGCGGCTGGTGGCGAACCCGCGGCCGGGCCATCCGCTCTGCGCCTTGGGGTGGTACTGGTTAGAAAAGGAAGAATGTTTAAAATACCGTTTGACTCTTGTACCGAAGCCTTTGTTACTAGTTATGTCGTTACGGCTTTGAAGCCATAATCGTGCCTGCAGCCCTGATGGAAACGTGACCTGGAAAAACCCAAATTGCCTCCTGTCAGACACAGGCCACTGCATAATCTTCTAGTCCAGACCAGAAGATTTCAAGTGGCCGCGTGTGAAATTAATGCCTGATCATAATATGAAAGTGTCTTTCTGTTTTTCTGTTATATTTTGTGTAGTGCAACTGTGAACAACAACTACACCAAAGAATTATTTTGCAACTTTGATGGTAAATCTCAGCTGCTGGAAAGTCACTTTTTAGTTTCAGACCTAGCACAGCCATCACTCTCTGTTTCATCTCAAGCCTTTACATCAACTGTATGTTGAAAAAATGGTGGATTTTGGAGATGACGTTGATTTTTAAGTTACTGGTAGCCTTTGGATCTAAGTGAAAACCTGGACTCAGGCCCCAAACACTGTATTAAGGTTTTATTAACATTTGTAGAATTTTTTTGATGTGGGGAAGAAAGATGTGCAGTTTGAAAGAAAAATTTGGCCATGACAGCTAGATGTTTTTCTGGGCATTGAAATCATAGAAAACCAGACTGCATCAGAAAAAAGTGTGCATTAAGAAGAGATGTTTAGATCATTAACTGTCAAAGTATGGCTGACAGTGTAGTTCTACCATTTTGGGTTTTTTTTTCCATGTAGCATACTAGTTTAGAAGAACAGAAACTTCATGTTGATGAGCAAGTTTCTGTGTTTGAATTATGTTTTTGGTTTGCATGCAGCATTTTTGCATTTTCAGGGCTTTAAATAATATTGACTGACTTGATTGGACATGATCTCAGCTGGAGAAGCAGTATGAGACCTGTCCTTCATAAGTGGTGTCGTCCTAGTCAGGCCCGTCAGCAGTTCAGTAGAAGATGTGATCTTCTGGATCCTCCCTGTCTCTCTCTTGCACACGTGCATGCACGTGCACACAGACTCACTCTTATTGTGTTCTTCCAAGATGTTCCACAACTAGAGGGAAGTTAACTGCATGATTTTAATACCAAATACGAACACACCTTTCTATTAACTTCTACAGAGTGAAGGAATGTACTTAATTTGCAGATCTCACTATTCTCTGTGTACAGGAAGAGACAGTCAGGCACACTTGGACAAAGAAGTCACCAGACTCTGCTCTCCTATGCTCCAAAAACCTACATTTTCCCAATAGTGCCCTTGGCAACCAGAAATTTTGTAGAATTCTGGAATATGGCACCAGGGCTTGCATTTTGCTTAGCAAGCGAAAGCTCAGGAAAATCCAGGTTGCATCCCAACTGAGCTGGAGGTGAAAGGGCAGATGTGCGCCACTTCCCTTGTCTGTGCATCCAGGTTTCTTTTCCATGGGCTTCAGCATATGCTTCATCCCTATATGAAATGTTCACCTGGGACATGCCCTGGGAAAATGAGTTTTTCTCACTATGGATATAGCACCTGTGTCTTAGGCCAATAAAATAAATTATTAGTGAGGAAGTAATATGGGTGTCAGAGTTAAGCCTTTAGGTTTCAGTGAGAATCTGGGCATAGGGTTCAAAGGTAAGGAGAACCAAATACCTGTGAGCTTCAGCATTGGGGAAGGCAATGATTTTGGAGCCATTTTGAACAAAAAGTCTAGTCTAGATAGTTGGTCATTAACTGACAGTTAATATGAAATTTTACAAAAACATCTTTCCCTTTGTCTCAAGTTTGACCCAAAACCAGAAGATTTTGGGGACGACTTTGTTCTCTTTTGAGGTTCTGGCTTCCATTCTTCCCTAGCAGAGCAAGTCCCGCTCAAGTCTCTCGGATCACTTCACAAGCACTTTACAACAGCCATTTGCTGGAGATAATGTAATTCTTGTTCTCATCTGAGAGTCTAGAGAACTGAGATAGAGTTCAAAGGACCTATCCAAAATACACAGTAAATTAGCATAAGAAATGAGACAAGGAAACAAATTATTTGCTCCAGTCACAGGATTAAATTGCCTTTCCCTAACTCGCTGCAACTGCTAAGAAATTCATGGGCCATTCCTCTTGCAATAACTTGAAAAGGGCAGACATGCCTTTTACGCTTCTTTCTGATGTAAGTGGTATTAAATATGCATTGTAGCTCGGTTACCTTAGATAACTGAGCATGAATTCATCCATCTTCCACTTGAAATTCTGTTCCCAAATGTAGCAGCTGAATATTCTTTCTTTTGTTTTCTGCTTTTTGGAGGGGTTGGAGGTTTTTCACTTTTGTTTTAAGAGAATAATCTTGTTAGCATTCCTTAGAAACTCATTAAAATGCTTCCCTTTTGGCTTATTCTCCTAATTTATTAATACCACAAATAACTTTTCTTTGGTGACCCACTTTCATAGGTATCTGAACATCTAGCAAAATTGTAACTCATCAGGAAGGCAGTGTAGACTAATAAATAGCATCTCCAGACAGAGAAGAAAATCAAGATACTTCCTCCTTTGCCACACAGAGTTCTACACACCACACATAGAGAAAATACCGCTCTATTCCACAGCTTACTCAGCACCTTTAGCCCAAAAGAAAGCACTTTATTGATTGCATGATTGATATAAAGGTCAGAATTTAGGATTGCATTTATTCTCCTGGCTGAATTCAATTTTTACCCTACATCCACAGAGAAGAAACTGCTCTTTGCATAAATATAAATTGAAATATTCGTCTGTGTGTGTGTGTGTGTGTGTGTTCAAACAAATAGACTTTCTCTTATAGCTCCCAGGGCAACCTCCCGACACTACACTGTTATCAAAACCTTTAGGGTTTGACTAAGGTACTGCTCTTTATTGAATTATCGTACCTGCTTTGGGAAAAGTACAGATTTGCTTAGAAAAAGAGGATACTCACTGATTTAATGAGCATGATGGTCAACAGGCCACTGGAAGTGGTAGAACTGTACAGACTCTAAGTCAGGCAGAGGTCAGCTAGTGTAAACGAATACACTTATTTTCATACTCATTTATTTCCAAAGATACAGAGGTTGCTTTTTGTGAACTGAAGCTATACAGACAGACTTAGGTCAAGCACTGATTAATTACCCCATGTCCTGCAGATGCTTGACCACTGGTCATGTTCTTAAGGGCAGTCTGCTCTGAGAGTGCAGTCTGTGGTTGTTTCAGACCAAGGATACTCAGCATTGCCACCTTCTCTCCAAAGTCTGTGACAGCAGCCCCCCTAACAGGAGAGCATAAGGCTTATTTGGTGACTTTTGATGAACCTGTGCTTTCCTTTTCAGTAAGTGTGGACGTTTGTGTAAGTGTGAGAGCATCATGGTGGCGTTTAAAGGAGTCTGGACTCAGCCCTTCTGGAAAGCCGTTTCAGCAGAATTTTTGGCCATGCTCATTTTCGTCCTCCTCAGCCTCGGCTCCACGATCAACTGGGGTGGAGCAGAGAATCCCCTGCCTGTAGACATGGTCCTTATCTCCCTCTGCTTTGGACTCAGCATTGCAACCATGGTGCAGTGCTTTGGACACATCAGCGGAGGCCACATTAACCCTGCTGTGACCGTGGCAATGGTCTGCACGAGGAAGATCAGCCTCGCCAAGTCAGTCTTCTACATCCTTGCCCAGTGCCTGGGAGCCATCGTGGGTGCAGGCATCCTTTACCTCGTCACACCACCCAGCGTGGTAGGAGGCCTGGGAGTCACTGTGGTAATCACTTCTCCTCTGGCTCTTGAACTAGACTAGCTTAGAGCCTAAGAAAATATGATCAGTATCACGGAGAATAAAGACAGCTCAAGTAGAGATTTTAGGAGCTTGCTGGTTTATTTACAACGTCTAGATGGGGCTTAAAGCTCTCCTTAGGATGCGTTTATGGAGCGTAATATCTATAGCTGTTCTTTTTATAGAAGTTCTCTTTCCTAGAACTTTCCCAAATCTGATGACAGCAGGTAATGTTAATTTACATATAAAATTTAAATAATATATGCATGAAATGCCATTTTTATATGGGCTGGGGAGGGAGGAATTAATTCTGTGCCATTATGATGGGGATTGAAAAAACATCAATTTAAAATGACATACTTTTGAAATAGATTGTGGCTTAGATTTCAGCTTTGTTCTAAACTAATAAGGAATGCCATCAGTTAGCCCTGTTGCAGGACTTATTAAAAATGCACTTGAGCCGCACACTGCTTAATTTTTAATTGAAATTTAAATTAATTAAGTCAGGGCTAATTAATGAATTTATAATTGAATAGTAAATTACAGTGCTCCCAAGAAAAAAAAAATTGTGAAGGGGAAGTGCAGCATTTGCAAATCCCTGTGTAAAAATAAACTATACTTCTGCAGTCTAACTTTGAAGTTCTTGTTGGATGTTACCATTAAGCCTTCTGTGTTCGGGCTGGCAGTAATTTTCCATGACTCTCAGAAAAAAGAAAAATTAATATAAAGAAAAAAAATGGGAGAAAAGTGTTTGGGAGGAAATCTGTACCTCTAAATGTTCATCGTTGTCTTTCACAATGTGTACCATTCAGAAATACCTTTCATTAAAGTACAATTAATATATGTGGTGGCTTTCTGATTTACAAAATCACCATCTCTTAATTTCTGGTGTTTCTTTCCCTTCTTCCAGGTACACAGAGATCTTTCCGCTGGCCATGGACTCCTGGTGGAGTTGATAATTACATTCCAGCTGGTTTTTACTATTTTTGCCAGCTGTGATTCAAAGCGAAGTGATGTCACTGGTTCAGTAGCTTTAGCAATTGGATTTTCTGTTGCAATTGGACATTTATTTGCTGTAAGTTAATAGCTTCTCTTTAAAAAATAGACTCCTTTTCCCTTTATGACTACTTCAGAAGTAAATGGAAACTTCTGTGGCCTTATAGCTGCTAGAGCTACATAGGTGCTATATTCTTTATGAGTTCACGCCAAAACTCTTTGGAGTAGCAGGATGGTCCCCTTGGGTAGGGTGTTGCATCAGAGCTTTTCTGCCTATATGATGACTTTGTTGATTTTGCAATAAGACCCGGGAGAACGACAACAGTTGCTGTCAAGATTAGAAGCCATGGAAAAACAGGGTATCCCCATAGTACAAGGACTGGCAGAAATTGAATAACTATCTTCAAGGCTTTAATAATGGGTAAAATTTTGTCTTTGCTTTAGATCAATTACACCGGTGCCAGTATGAACCCCGCTCGATCATTTGGACCTGCTGTCATCATGGGCAGATGGGAAAACCAATGGGTAACTCTGCTTTCATGATTCCTTCACCATAGCAACAAACAGCCATCAGGATTTTTCATACATCATTTGCTTTTAGTTGCCTACCCCAGTACATCCCATAGAGACCATCACTGAGGAGGACAGGGGCTGACCTGCCACAAGCTTTGGTATAATTATGTTCCTCGTCTGGGACTGCGGTGTGGTATGCAGCACGCTGGAATAGCGTCTTGCTATTCAGGGATCATTTTGTGGAGGTAGTAGCTGGGGTAGAAAGGAAATCATACAAGGAGTTCAAAACAAAAAGAGCAATCCAGTGAGACTGAAAGAATTGAACTGCTAGAAAGAAAAAACCTCCGAGGCAAATTGCAAATCCCCCAGTCATGCTGGTGAGAAGTTGTGGAAGTAATTCTGTTGGCTTCACGTTTCACCTGGTTCTGCGGCAAATTGGGGCAGACGTATAAAATGAGAGCAGGGACCCTCTGTGATCTGGTTCCCGGGGGACAACCTGCCTGAGCAAATGCCCACAGTGAGAGATGAAGGGGTTGCAGTCTGGTCTTTGCAAACCAGACCAGATGTTCAGATGTTATCCACTTCAATTTGAAAGCATCAGCTTAGCTAGGAGTATTTGCACAGGAAACAAGTTGATAAACAGATTGTGAATGATGCAGTCGTTTTCTTCAGCATCTCACTATTAAACTTATTAAAAACCAATTCACATTTTATAAGGGAGAGATGGATTGCAGCTCAGCCTCACCTAATTAAAGACAGGGAAAGCACTTCTAGAGACACTTTCAATGCTAACTCTAAGAGCTGCATATTACGGTGCATATAAGGATTTTCTTGGTTTTTAAAGTATGAAGCCCACATTGCTTCCACTGCAACTCATAACAGAAGTAGCATTGTCTTCAGGCCCTAAGGCACCAATTCTGCAAACATGATACCATGTGTAACTTTGTTCCCAAGAGTTATCCTATTGAGGCAGATTTACCCAGTTATCAGTGAATGGTTGTTCATACAGAAAACCATTGTAGCTTTTCACAAGATTAATTATCCATACTCTAAGGGAGCCTGTAATTTATAACTAAAACTATAAACAATAAACAAATGTAGCATGAAGAAACTTGTAGGAGAAGCTTAGCTACTGGCCTGGTCACTTGGAAAGACAGCCTTTTCTCCTCCTCCATTGCAGTGACGTTGGCATACCATTAAAAGAAGCCCATGGGCTTCTGCACCTACTAATCTTACAGAACTGCTGCCTGTCATGCAGAAATAGATAGGTACCGTACAATGGTGTGTTGTGTCAGTTGTATTTGCTTATTTAAATTAGATAATCAGGTAGCTGACTGCCTGTTGGATTCTGCGGGATCAGAAGCCAAATTTGGATTATTTTGGAAATGTAAGTCTGAAATACTGAAGAAGAACTGTTTGTGTAAACACCAGAAAAGGTTTTGTTTCCTTAAATGTTTATTGTCACCTTGGGTGAAAATGCAGAAAGAAACTCACTTTTCTGCTTTGGCGTTTATTTTGTGTGTATTCTTGCAAACAGTCCATGTATGTTGTCTATAGCTGGCAATGAGTGACGAAAATGTAGAGAAGACCTCTTGGAAAGAAGTAGATCAATAAAACTTGACAAAACTATTTCTCTTTGACAATGTGGGCCTTCTTCCCTGCTAATTTAAAAGCAAAGCTATGCCAGAGCAACTATATGTTGCATGTGACTACAGAGTTGTATTTGATAAGTCATACATGATTCCACCAGGATCTATGGCCTCTTTTGTCTCAAGAAATGTTGTAACTACAATTGACCTAAATAAAGATGATGAAGAACCCATACTTTTGTCTTCTTGGACAAAGTCGAAAAAAAAAAAAAGTCTCCCACAAAGAAGGGAGAAAAGCTGCTTTCTGTTAACACAAGAAGGTAGGGGAGCCAGAGGGAATGCTTGTCTGTCCGCCTATGGGAGATGTCCATAGCTTCACTGCTGCTCAGCCAGTCTGCCCCAGAGCATTGGTAACCAGACATGTAGACTGAAATCTTTTTCAGGCATCAAGGAAGTAGTATCTTTATCTTGCTGACATGTCAACATAGGTCCCTCTTCTCCGCTGTTCTGTGGGGTCCACTGCCTGGTGTTTCCCTAAATGCTGGCATGAGAGAAGTTTTTAGGGAAGAGTTGCACTCACAGATATGAGGTTGTTTAGATGACTGCATTCAAGACGACTAGGGGGTGAAATATATGTGAAAGAGAGAGACTGAGAGGAGGCAGAAAGAAAAAAATATTACCTAGGACTAATGCCAATAACCACCTAAAAGGGTGCCTTTTGGCTGACTTCATATGTGATTTTTAGAGCAGTCACTTAATTGCTGAGCTCCAGGTCACCATCTGTGAAACCTATGATAGTTGCACTTCTCTGCATCATAAACTGGTATGATGGCAGATTTCATCTCAGTTCATGAAAGCCAGGGAACCGTGTGACCGTGCATTTCTGGAGAGTTAGATTTAACAATTGAACCGGGGCATTTGGCAGAAGCTTTTCTGGATGAAATCTGTAGTGACATGCTTTTCTCTGAGGCCTTGTCATCTTTATTTTCTCTAGAGCTTAATGCCTGTCTTTTCTCCACCTCTTTTTGCAGGTATATTGGGTGGGACCAATAATAGGAGCAGTCCTTGCTGGTGCTCTTTATGAGTATGTCTATTGCCCAGACGTTGAACTCAAGCGCCGTTTTAAAGATGTCTTCAGTAAGGCTACCCAGCCATCCAAAGGGAAATACATCGAGGTGGATGACAACAGGAGCCACGTAGAGACCGAGGACCTGATCCTGAAGCCTGGCATAGTTCACGTGATTGATATCGACAGGGGTGAAGACAAGAAGGGAAGAGATCCATCCAGCGAGGTGTTGTCTTCTGTATGACTAGCAAGAAGCACTGAAAGCAGAGAGCAGCCTGCTAGCACAGATATCCTTCCACCTATTAAAGAAACAGATCTCCTCTAGACTGAGCATCTACCATTTCTTAAAAGGTATGGTGCAGGCAGCTGGGTGGTAGTGGTGTCACCAAACCATACACGTGCTCAGTTCGAAGATTAGGACTTTACTGTAATTAGGATTCCCCATCTATTCCAAATTGAGAATTGTTCCTACTATTTTCCTTTCCTTCTTTCTGGAACAACTCCAAAGTCAAAACAAAAGGTGAAAGTACTCTCCTTTAATAAATCGGTCAATAATGAGATGAAGATAGAGATGTTTAACATTCAGATTGACAGTTAAGGCGTATCAGGAAATGCCTATAGACATAGAGACCTATTTATCAGATTGTTCTTCTGATACTTAATTGGCTGTTGTCAGCTCCGATTACAATATCTTATCCATTAAGCGTTCTCTGCGAGGTTCAGGGACAGCACCAACAGTATTTAAGAGCTTTATCCACAGTCAAGCAAAGGAGTATTGTTTCCACTCGTACATCATTGTTGCCTTGCAAACTACCTCTGAAAAAATGATACTTTAATAGGTTTAAAAAAAAATAAATATATCAACCCATCAAATTTCACTCATGTGTTTTGCAGTATAAATATATTACCTTCATCCCTTCCCAGGAGTATATATGCTGAAATTGAACATTGAAGTCTACTGTAAAAAAGCTGCAAAGTATTTGACTGTACTTCATGCTCCTTCTTGCCATTGTCTATCTGGTGAAACATTCTCCTGAGGTTTGACTATTGACTGTTTAGTGTTATCAGACTCCCAAGGTCATGCAAAGAATACAAAGGCTTTCCTGTTACTTAATAACTCAAATAAGAGATATCAGAAGAAAAGAAGGCATATCTGTTTTCAGTGCACTTGTTCAAATACACATTTCTGTGCTAATTTATGTAAACTAAAGGTTTAAATTACTTACCTACTTTCTTACAAGATGGTTGGAGATATGGGGTTTTTAATTTATTAGTAATGTAGAGGGTTTTTAACTTTTAACTGTATTGAAACACTGATTGTGAAATATTTTTTTATAACAGATGATAAAAATATGACTGCTTCTGGCTTTTTGTTTTAACTGATGCCTAACTATTTGAACAGGATCCATGCTGTTCCAGTCTTAATTACGCCTCTGGCAAAGGTTTCTTTACCTGTTGTTAGGAAAAGATGCAAGACTTGCAGGTTTTTCTAGGGGAAAAGGGACATGAAATATGTTCAGTAATCAGTCTTTCCCTTATAGAAGTATTTTGACAAATGTAATCACCTCAGCAGAACATTTCTATGAAGCTGTTACTGACTTACTGCTTTTGTTTCTGATCAGTGGCTTTGAGTTTTACAATATGCAGCTGCAGAGCAGGCAGGAGTGTGGTATTATTTCTGTAATTGTATAGTTTTTATTTTGAAATTGAAAAGCTGCTCCTGCCTATTTAGTAATAAGAGGGGGAAAAAAGCATTGGTCCTGACTGCGGTTGTCTGCTCTTTGACATACTTTACATGCGATCTTTATTACAGGGAATTAGGTGTTTCCAATGAGATAATAAGACACTGCTACCCTCAAATCTGTGCACTATGATCCAAAGGCCTCAGCTAGCAGCACTGTATAGAGCCAGCATGTCCTGCCGTACCCATTTTCCTAGTTTCACACTTTTCTTGTCTGTAAGTCTGGCAGAGCGTGGCGCAAGCTCCCTGCATTGAGCATGAGATTCATGACTCCTCCATGCATTTGCAGTTGGACCACGATCTCTCCCCTGCACCCTCGGGCACAGCACGTGGCACACGCGGGCACAGGACAGGGCTTCCTTGGGTGACCCAGTGACAGCCCCGCTCCTGACGCGTGAGTCCTCCTGACGGACACGCTTCCCCTCACATACCTGGAGCAGCATCCCAGCAGGAGCTGCCTGTTGAGTTTGGTCAAACAGCTTGTATTTGTCCTTAGCTGTGCCCCAACACGGTGATAGCATCACGGTTCAAGGGCAAGACCACGGTCAGGGACCTGCAAGGGACAACATCAAATTGCAGATAAGAGCTCCTTCACACAGCAAGGACTAAGTCTCTTGGGGAAGGGCAATGCAGATGTGGTGTTCAAACCTCTGCATGCCTCTCCTCAGATGGATAAATACCATGCTAAATAGATTCAGTAAGAAAGATCAAAACTTGTGGAATTTCTTTTTGTCTAGGCATTTGTTCTGACTTTTTTTTTCCACTTTTTTTTCCTTCCCCCTCTCCCTCCTTTTTCTTCAAATGCTGTATTTGTTAAAGGGATACCTTGATTAAATCTTTTGCATGGCTTAAGCAAGTAAAGTAAGGAGTAATACACATAGCACTGGTGGATTTTTAAGCAAAGGTTTGCATTTTGTATTTAAAGACACTCTTTAGAAGCTCTTAATTTGTGAATTTTGAGTGGTACTGTGTTACTTAAATAAGAAGCTGTCATTTGTTTTATGCTTAAGAGTGCGTTACTCGAACGACTCAATGCGTATTTTCTTCAGCCAGGTTGCCTCTGCTGCCGAGGTGAGCATAGCACGAGCATAGCACCAGCCACCTCAGTTAGGACTTTTTTCCTTGAAACACCCTATTAATGAAGTGTGGCAAACACTCAGGACTAGTCCCAGGAGATCAAAGAGAGTATCGGAGACAAGACACTGAGGGTCCTGAAAAGATAAGGGGAAAGAAGGGAAGCTAAAATAGAGACGACTAGGCAGGAAAGGGTGTTGCCATCGGACATTAGTAAGAAAGCAACATATGGCAGGTGTGCTCCTGCTCCCACAGAATGAGACTCAAGGAGGAGTTTGTCATTGACTACAGTGGAAATGTGTCGTGTCCCAGCTGAAACCAGGACAAAACGATCCTGAGCTTTTTTAGGGGCTGATGGCTTCTCTCATGCACTTCACTGTGTTTTTTCCAAAATCAGAGTCTTTCAGCAAGATACTTAATTCTGGAAGGAGATGCGTTCAACTCGAGGTTTATGACCCACCCTAAAGTAAATCCTTAGGAGTGGCCGTCATCACAGACGGCTCTGCCCCATTGCAAGAGATCACCATTCATGAAAGAGAACATCACTCTTCAGCATCCCTTAGGACTCAATTTAGCTTTGACCTGCAGGGATATGTGCTTCTCTAAGTTGTTTTGCAGTGGTATCATCACTGTACAATAGTCACATTTGGTTAAATGGTAGACTAGCATGACCTTTTTATGGATTGGAAATACTTCTGCCTTAATATGGTTTTTAAAATATGTACTTTAATACTGTTTGAGTGAGATTTATGTTCTAAAGGCCTTCTGCTCTAAATTGCACTTCAGAATATAACTTGGTGTCCTCTTAAAGTATTTATTGGTTGGGGTGGGAAATGGTAAATGTCTTTTGTTTATGATGGTGGATGGATATCACAGGAAGTCTGTCAGGCATGTGACCGTTCTGTGGTCCTAAAAAAAACTATGAATGAGTCTCTCCCTCCTCCATAATGGCACGATTGTTTCCAATGCTATATTTGCGCTTCAACAAATATATTCAAAAAATGTAATCACTGGATTTCAGAAAAGAAAGGATGAAAGCTAAGAATGGTTAAACCGAGGCACACAAATACCTTTTGAGTTGCACATACTCTGAGGAATTCATCAGACAAATTCTAACTATTCTCAGGAAAATAAAAAGGTCCTACAGCATTTGAGTTGTTATGACCCTTCTCCTGTTACAATATTTGGGAGCCATATCTCTCATTCATTCAGTGGAAGCAGGAGCAAGACTCATCTCATGCAGCATTTAGGCTTGTCATGTGTATTTGCATCTGAGCTTTTCAAACTGTGTTTTATTTCTGATTATTAATAATTGCACAGTATCTGCTTAAAAAGCTATATGGCCTCCGTATTTCCACCTTTCTAGTGCTTGGTGGCAGAGCAGTTACTGGTGTGCTCTGCAACATTTTTCTCTGAAGTCTGTGCAACACGTTCTGGATATTATACACCATCCAATATTTTTAGTCTAAATAAAACATGTGGGACTTTACATTGTGAACCGTTCTTTCCAAGGTGAGACATGAAAAGACCATGCACAATTTTTTGTGTCTCAAATCAACCTGTGTGTGTCTGAGTTTCTCAAGGACTTACTAAATAGACAAGATGCAAATACAGAGTGAACTATATGTTGTCCACTTATATGATCGAAATCATACTGTCGTGGTCTGTAATTTAGGACAAATGAGGTAAATCAAACCATGAACATGGATTTTTCCACAAGACTGCTTACTGTTGAAATACTTAGTCACCATGATCTCAGAATTAATGTTATAGCACTTAAAATTTCCCTCTGTAACATTTGGTATAACCTACAGAAAAATACACTATAAAATAATGCCTGTTTATCTGGTTCCCACTGGTATTCTACTGTATCTCACACCACTGTTGCAATAAATTATCTGTTAAAAAAAAAAAGCATTGTGTGGTCACTGGAAGCATTTAATGATCCTAAAGCTCAGGACTGAAATATAAGGAAAAAGCCCAATCCAGCCAACAGAACATGTCTAAGAGGAGTCTGAAAGCGTGTGAAACTGAAAAGGAATGATTTACCGTGAAAAAATGTCCGTTAAGAGACTTGATTGTGAAAGAGATTTAATATTTTTATGGAAATGAGCTAAACCAATTAGAGCAAAAATTATACTGATATATGTACATCACCGATTTTGTCAGATGGTTTTAAAACTCATAGGACTGGTGGAGAGCTAAGGTTTTGAAAAGTGACAGAAATGACACTGGCACTTCAGAGTCCTTTTGCTGAAGTGTGGTTTGTGAGCCCAAGCTCCCACGAGGAGCTTCAGCAATGGAAATCGGGTACTGTAGCAGTTACATTTTTGGTTGTCTGGTTCCTTGCTTGGAATGCAAAGTTTAGCTCCTAAGAAGCATATGACATTCTTGGAGGTAAATTAGGATCCTGAGAATGATTCATATGAAAACTTATCACCTAGGATAGCATCTAATCAGCGGGAAGAGATGAGTAAACTCATACCTGAAACTCACTCCTCACAGAATTACGGCTCTTGCTTTCAGCTTCTTCATATCCGAGTTCCAGAGGCACATCTTAAGAGGCTTAGGGGTGTGTCTGTGTCTATGTGTGTGCCATATATCTTACTACACCTGTGATGCGTTCCCAAGGGAATGTAGGCAGAGCTTGTGAAATTATTTTGGGGTCAGAAATAAGGTAGGAGCCACTTGGACATTTTGGGAGACTCTCAGACAGGAATCTAGATATCTGGAGAGTTAGAAAAACAAACAGGTAGTGATGCAGCTGTCTCCAGGGTTAAGATGCAGCAGGGTCCTGGGAGGAGTAGGAAAGTAACAGTGTGGCCAGGGGAGAGCTTTGTAGCATACCTCCTACCCAGAGTTTGCTGGCACTGTGGTATCACTTACAGGATAAAAACATGGTCCCTGTTGTATAAGGACACACATGTAGGCTTGTGGGATCATGTCTGAGCTACCGAATGGGAGAGGCTGAGCCGTGCCGGGCGAGCAATGTTAATGTTAGTGAACCCTAAGCTTCAGTGACAACACTGGCTTCAGCAGTGACAACTGCAAACAGCAACTGTGGCCCAGTTATCTGCTCAAAAAGAGAACTTAGAGTGCAGATATCCCTAGCATCAGTATTCTTTCGAACCCTCCTTTGACTTTAGACTGCTTTATCAGTTGCAGATTGTGATGTATTGCAAGCATTATAAGCTGCTTTATTTCTATCAGACTGATAACTGTTATCTTGTCTATTCATTTCCTTTGACCTTTCTCGCCTTGTTAGGAAAGCAGTGCTTACAAGTTCGAAGGCTGTGGAATAATCTAGCTAAAAAAGCAATCACAAGGCCCTTTTGAAAGGCAAAAGGAGCTTATACTATGTCTCTCACCTTGCCATGTGTGATGGGTGGAGACAGAGGCTTTCTGCAGGTGTGCCTGGCAAACA